GCTTCCGTTCCAGGGATCTGTCCATGATAACGCCCAATTCGGTCCGGATTGGAGCGTTGAGCCACGGTCGGGATTTCGTCACAAGCCTGGCTATTGCTTCCGAGCAGGTTGTCTTCCTCATTGGCGTGAGGGTCGAGATTCAGTTCCTGGAGCTCGTCCAGTCCCCACTCTGCATCTCGTGAGACCTCCAGAGTGCCCAGTGATAGCGGATATCGTGAGCGTGGAGTGATCTCCCCATCCCTCTCCGTTACAGAAAGGCCAGTCCGTGGATGAGCTCGAGGTGTTCTCTGGTCTTCCGGACCCCTCGACGGTGTTTGCGGTGGGGTGGATGCTCTGGAAGCGTTGGATGATAAAGGTGTGGGTCGAACTGGGCTCAGGGACAAAACGTTCATTGCTAAACGCGATGCAGCGGTACCGAGCGTGTTGGAAGCGTTTGCCCACGGGTTTGCTCTTCCTCGAAGTCCAAGGGAAGCGGGCGTCATCTCCGGCAAGCTGTCTGCAAAAGCAGACGATGCCGGTAAGTTATCCACGTCATCGATACGCGGACTCAGTGAGGGAGACGAAGAGGGCGCGGGAGATGATGCCGGTAAGTTATCCACGTCATCGATACGCGGACTCGGTGAGGGAGACGAAGAGGGCGCGGGAGATGATGCCGGTAAGTTATCCACGTCATCGATACGCGGACTCGGTGAGGGAGACGAAGAGGGCGCGGGAGACGATGCCAGTAAGTTATCCGCGTCATTGATACGCGGACTCGGTGAGGGAGAGGGCATCCGCGCCGCAGAATCCCCTTGGCAGGTAGTCAGTGCTGCACAGAATGTATACGGGCGCAAATGTACCGAGCGTGATTGGGATACCTGGATTCGTCTCTGACGCAAACCCGGCATCCGCTTGAGATTGTGCCACTCTCTGGCGAGCCTTTTCCTCTCTTTTTCGGCGACGCACATCCACAGCCGGTGTCTCCTGTTCAAGGGCTGGAGCAACAGAATTGGATCGCAGTGGTCGGGTTGGTGCGGCTGAAGATGTAGGCGGTTTCGCTGCGGACTTGGAGCGAGGAGGCATGTTCCTGGTAGTGGATCGGACTTGTAAGCGCGTAAGCTTGGAAAGTTGCCCCAGATTCGGTCGGATTCTGGGAACGGAAGGCGATGCAAGGGGATCAGCTTCAAGGACTTGACCTCGTCAACTGCTAGGTACTCACTGGCGCCGCGTGCAGGATCTGCCTAGATCTTTCTTGGCCTGTCGAGCCGCTTGGAGACAGCATATCGGAGGATCAGAAGCCATCGAGCGGACTTCCGATGGTCGCATGGCTCACGCATGACTCCATTTGTGGCTCCTCCGGGCGCGCATGCCCGCTATTGCGCAGATGCCCATGTTAGCCCGGCGGTGGGTTTTGGTGCCCCTGTTAGCCCGGCGGCGGGTTTTGTCGTGATTTTATAAGGGATATTCACACAGGGACTCATGAATACGATGTACACTACTCGCTAATATAGTCCTCTGCCATGAGCTCGTCTGGTGGGAGGTGCCCGACGAACGACATGAGCGTGGACAGAAAGAAAGATGTGTCACAAGATGTGATGCTGTCGCTATGTCATGCCTCCTTGATGGTCGATATCAAGGCAATCAGTGGAGTAATGATCCGACCCACATGGCTTACAATCGCAACATTGGATCCGTTTCTTCTTCATTCCTTCGGACACGATAAGATTTGCGGGCTAAATAGCCACCGAGAATACATGTGAATAATTTAATTTGTTACGCTGAGCTTCATGTGGACACTGCGGCCGTCGGGGATTCGCTGACAACTCCGATCTCGAAATTAGTGGAAAGCAGCCCAAGAATTCCCACTGTCTCGTTGATTGCCCGACAGAGTGATCCAAGTGGGAAGACATTTGTCCTGTTTTTCCATGCCCATTGCGTATCTGCATGGGGCTCTGCAAACTGCACCACCACCTTCGACGGATCTGACAATTCGGGGATGATTTCAGCGTATTTCCCGATGTCTGCATCAGATCTGGAGCAGTCGTGACCGATGATGATGACCCGTCCACGTGCAGCACTGATACAGCGTCCATCGGCAAGCGTCCTGACTGGCTCGAGACATTCTGCCGGGACAAGGGCGTCGGTAAATCCACCCAGCCGAATCTGCACGAATCTCAGCATGAACGCGTGCCGTGACCAGTCCATCTTCTGTGAGGGCATGACAATGCCGGTCTTCTCCGCATGCTCAAACGTCTTGCGATTAAAAGACAGGAAGTAGCGACCCTTCCCGCGCCCATTTATCTTAGCAGCGTTTTTTGCACTCTCAAGTGCTGCAACGGACTTGACCTTCACGTCGATTCGCTTCCCTTGGAAGGCAGGGTTCGCCAACCACAAGTTATCGGCAGCAAAGACATCTAACGCTGGCGGTGAGTGCTCTGGTGCTGGTCAGGGATCACAGACTGACCTAGTTCAGAGATCTGCTCCTCCGTCGCCGTGTCGGGATCTGGTGGTGGAGTGGGTGGGCGACGTGTTGCCTTGATGAGTTCGGACAGGTCCCCAAAGAACATGGCCTGTCGCAATGGCAGTAAGACCCTAAGACAACGCGCATGTGTTAATAACATTCCAGTCTCAGCAATAATGTAGCACGCACTCAGGGTGGACAACCTGATCCAAGCGTGCAATGGCCGTTGCTCCCCCGTCGAGGTAGATCAACAACTCTACCTTCCGCTCAAGCTTGGATTCTGGCTTGAGGGTGGGTCGCTTCGAGCGCTGAATATGCTTGTAGCCAGCAACGACACCAACAAGGCCCTTCTGATTGTGTTTACCAACAATCATGACGCGCTGACCAGTGTAGCCCTGCCCCGTGTGGTACAAGTCTCGCTCGATCTTGGCTTGCCTCTGGTCCTTCTCGAGAGCAAAGTTGATGTATTCTGGATCGAGCTTCTGGGTTTGCCAGCCGTGGCCACATACTCGTTGGTACCCGGTGGTGTCTGGTGGAAGGAGAGTGATCTTCCAATCTGGTACTCGAATCTGCACTGATGTTCAAGAACAGGTTATCGACAATTTGCCACGGCATGCACTTACGACCAGATCCTCTCGCGATGCGTATGCCGCGTTGTTCATCTGCACGTAGTCAGTATGTAGATTGTCTATATTCCCATACGTATAGTTACCTTTCATTCGTCTCTCACAAATGTCCCATCGATACGCTTCTGGATTTCCCCAATTTCACACTGTTTACGTCGACTGAGTATCAGACAGACGATCTTCGTGTAGGCGACTCACTGGGTAGATATCCACAGACCCACCCATGTTGACCGCGACAATGAAGCCAATAACGCCTGGTTGAGGCCCGGTTATGACTTGGACTACATCTCCCGCTCGAAACTCAATAATGCACTCGGATTGTTTGACTGTCCCTCGGCAGAGCTCTCCATTGGGCCTGACGCCATGAAAATCAACTCTTTCTGACGACGTTTCCAGCCCCGTTGCTAGACCTGTAGCCAAATGAAATGTCGAATGCCCAAATACTTTGATTCGTGAGTGGTCACTGATCGACCGAGGCGGGCAGAGGACATGTCGATACAAGGAGGCCATCGGCACAACAAACGACTCCTTGCGCCTCATGGATCGCGCCGAGACGACGTCGGTGCCGTTGTAGTCTGCGAAGACTGCGCCAAGAGCAGACTCGAATGTGCCTTGTGAGACGATGCAGACCAGGATTCCGGTGTGGCAGTTGAATTTGGATTCGTCGTCGTCGACTACGACGAGATCCCCCACCTGCAGCCCAGTCTTGGTCGGGACATGAGAAGGGACATGGAGCAGGTTCTCTTGTGCGATACGAAACCACTGGAGCTCATCTGGCGTGGGCGGTGATCCCTGTTCGCGTAAACCGAAGTCCTTTAATTTGACCACTTCAAGTCCAGCGGCAGTGAAACGGCGGTTTCTCCACACCCAGAGATTGTCCACAGAATCGTAATCGATTTTCGCGCCGGGATGCATGTCCTGCACGCGCTGCCTGCCGAAGAGAATGGGGTCTGGTCTGGTCTTCTGGCCTGGCTTGCGAATGCGAGGAACAACCAAGCAGTAGATATTCTCGCGAATTGCCCAGCAGGTGTAGGCCAAATCTCCTGCAAAGATTCCTTCATCCAGGCGGACAAACACGCCGATGTACTCGCATTCTTTGGATAGTGACAGGACGCGAACCTTGTCCCCCCCGCGAAAGGGCGACTTGATCATATTCGGCTTTGAATGCTGCCAGCGATCAAGCACTTCGGAGAGCCAAGCACGGTGGCGGGTTTCAACATAGACGAAACCTCCAAACTTGCGAGGGTAAAACACAGAGTCGAGGAAGTCGTAGTGACTGAGGAATCGGGTCAAGTCAGGCTCAAAGCCTGGCCGAACGAGAAGGGGATACATCGGGGGGTCAAGCGCGTCGTCTGGCAAGCGATACAGGTGTTCCGCGTGGTCCATATCTTCATCGGTCGGACCAGAAATGTCGTGCAAATGGATGCATTGAGTGAGAGAGGGAGATCAATGCATCATCTTGTGAGGGAGAGAGCCGAAGAGCAGGGGGTGGCTGTGAGCTCACTCTCTCCTTCCACCCACCTGCCGGCGACCTCATCCTCGACAAATTCCCCTTTCTGCGCTCTTTCTACACACTCTTTCATCGTTTTCCTCGACTATGAAACGCCCAGAAGTCCTCAATGTCTGCATTAATCTCTGCACAATGGATTCCATCTCAATTTCGAAATTTGGACAATTTGAGAGCATTGTCAGGGCTATTGCCCCATCCCATCCATGGAGATGAGTACTTCGACCTCCTTTTATAATTAGAGCTCAACAAGAGCGATGTTTTCCGACCCAATTCTGACATCAGGACGACGCCCTGTACATCCCCCACCCCTCATCACCCTCTCCTTTCCTTCCCACCCAAGCTCTCAGCCCTGGGATCCTCTCAGTGATGTTCCCACTCGATTCTTTCGATTTCTCCCTGCGCATCCGCTCCAGCAGTCTGTCTTCCAAGCCCTGCATGCTGGAGACACCTCTTCGCTTCAATTCCGCTCTTATTCGGGTTTCCCTCCCATTCTTATTGGGCGTTCAAATCCTGCGATTTAATCGCACTTGGTGCGATATTATCGCATATTTTCGTTCTTTTGGGTTCCTGGCGTTGTCTAACAACGCTGCAGGGACATTCTATGGTCTCAGCTCATTCTGGACCGTTGGTCTTGACCCAGCCGCTGGCCTGGGCCACATAGCGTCAATAATTACTTCGAATTTAGTGAGTTGTAACTGTTGTGCATATTTTGCATGATCTCTGCTGCGCATCTCCAGTGTCTTTGCTTCTGTGCATATCATGCATGTTCCTGCCCTGCACTCTGTGCATTTTTAGACGGTGCATAGCCTGCGCTGCGCATATCCTGCGTTTTTCCAGCGTGCATATCGTGCATATTTCGACTGCATGTCGTGCATTGTCGATGGTGCATAGCCTGCACATTTTCCAGCATGCATATCGTGCATTTTTGGACCGTGCATAGCCTGCACTTGCGCATATCGTGCGCTGTGCATATCGTGCGCTGTGCATATCCTGCGTTTTTCCGGCGTGCATATTGTGCATTTTCGACGGTGCATAGCCTGCACATTTTCCACCATGCATATCGTGCATTTTTCGACTGTGCATAGCCTGCACTGCGCCTATCGTGCGCTGCGCATAGTCTGCGTTTTTCCGGCGTGTATATCGTGCATTTTCGACGGTGCATAGCCTGCACATTTTCCACCATGCATATCGTGCATTTTCGACTGTGCATAGCCTGCACTGCGCCTATCGTGCGCTGCGCATAGTCTGCGCCCTTCCTGTTGTGCATATTGTGCATTTTCGACCGTGCATAGCCTGCACGTGCGCCTAGCATGCGCTGGGCATATTCTGCACCTTTACTTGGTGCGTATTGTGCTTTTCTCGACTGTGCATAGCCTGCACTTGCACCTAGCATGCGCTGGGCATATTCTGCGCCTTTACTTGGTGCGTATTGTGCATTTTCCACTGTGCATAGCCTGCACTGCGCATATCGTGCGCCGTGCATATCCTGCGTTTTTCCGGCGTGCATATCGTGCACATTTCGACTGCATATCGTGCATTTTCGACGGTGCATAGCCTGCACATTCTCCACCATGCATATTGTGCTTTTTCTCGACTGTGCATAGCCTGCACTGCGTATATTGTGCGCTGCGCATATTCTGCGTATTTTTGGGTGTGCATATCGTGCATTTTTGATGGTGCATAGCTTGCACATGCGCCTTTTGTGCGCTGCGCATAGTCTGCGCCCTTCCTGTTGTGCATATTGTGCATTTTCGACCGTGCATAGCCTGCACTTGCACCTAGCATGCGCTGGGCATATTCTGCGCCTTTACTCGGTGCGTATTGTGCTTTTCTCGACTGTGCATAGCCTGCACTTGCACCTAGCATGCGCTGGGCATATTCTGCGCCTTTACTTGGTGCGTATTGTGCATTTTCCACTGTGCATAGCCTGCACTGCGCATGTTCTGCATATTTTCTACTGGGCATATCATGCTTTTTCTCAACTGCATAGCCTGCACTGGGCCTATCGTGCGTTGCGCATATTCTGCGTATTTTTGGGTGTGCATATCGTGCATGTTTTGACTGTGCATATCCTGAACTTGCGCATATCATGCGCTGCGCATATTCTGCGTATTTTGGGTGTGCATATTGTGCATTTTGAGTGTGCATAGGCTGCACCTGCGCATAGCCTGCACTTGCGCATATTCTGCCTATTCTCTGGCGTGCATATCCTGCATTTTGGATGGTGCATAGCTTGCACATGCCCCATTTGTGCGCTGCGCATATCCTGCGCATTTTCTGGCATGCATATCGTGCGTTTTTCGACTGTGCATAGCTTTCACTGCGCATATTGTGTGATGCGCATATTATGCGTGTTTTCTACTGTGCATATCATGCAGTTTTGATGGTGCATAGCCTGCACTTGCGCCTATTGTGCGCTGCGCATATCCTGCGCCTTTTCTTAGTGCATATTGTACATCTTTCGACCGTGCATAGCCTGCACTTGCGCATATAGTGCGCTGTGCATATTCTGCGCCCTTCCTGTGGTGCATATTGTATATCTTTTGACTGTGCATAGCCTGCACTTGCGCACATCGTGCACTATGCATATCCTGCGTATTTTTGCGTGCATATTGTGCATTTTCGACGGTGTATAGCCTACACCTGCGCATATCCTGCATATTTCTTGTGGTGCATATCGTGCTTTTTCAATAGCCTGCACTTGTGCATATCATGCGTTGCGCATATTCAGCGCATTCTCTGGCATGCATATCGTGCGTTTTTCGACTGTGCATAGCTTTCACTGCGCATATTCTGCACCTTTCCTTGGTGCATATTGTGCATTTTTCGACTGTGCATAGCCTGCACTTGCCCATTTTCTGCGTATTTTCGACTGGGCATACCGTGCATGTTTGATGGTGCATAGCCTGCACCTGCGCCTGTCGTGCGCTGCGCATATTCTGCGTATTTTGGCGTGCATATTGTGCATTTTTACACTGCGCATATTCTGCACCTTCTCTGTGGTGCATATCATGCATTTTTCGACTGTGCATAGCCTGTGCTTGCGCATATCGTGCGCTGTGCATATCCTGTGCACTTCCTGGCATGCATATCGTGCATTTTCGACTGCATATTGTGCATTTTCGACCATGCATAGCCTCCACTTGTGCATATTGTGCGCTGTGCATATTCTGCGCATTTTATGGCATGCATATCGTGCATTATTCGACTGTGCATAACCTGCACTTGTGCATATTGTGCGCTGTGCATATCCTGCATATTTCTGCGTGCATATTGCGCATTTTCGACGGTGTTTCGCCTACACCTGCGCATATCCTGCATATTTCTTGTGGTGCATATCGTGCTTTTTCACTAGCCTGCACTTGCACATATTGTGCACTGTTTTTCGCCTGTGCATATCGTGCTTTTTGACAGTGCATGGCCTGCACTAGCGCATATCCTGTCTATTTTCTACTATGCATATTGTGCTTTTTGGCAGTGGCTAGCCTGCACCTGTGCCTATGCGTCGCCTGCACCCATGCATATCATGCATTGCACACATCCTGCACCCATGCATATCATGCATTGCACACATCCTGCACATTTTCTGGCGTGCATAGCCTGCACCCATGCACATCGTGCACCGTGCATAGCCTACACATTTTCCAGCATGCATATCGTCCATATTTTGACTGCATATCATCCATATTTTGATGGTGCATTGCCTGCACATGCTCATATCATGCACTGGGCATAGCCTGCACATTTTCGGCTTCCATATTGTGCTTATTTCGACTTTGATTAGCCTAGAATTGTGCATCTCCTGCGTTTTCCTGCGGTGTATATCATGCATTTTTGACAATGCATAGCCTGCATCTGTACATGTTGTGCGCTGTGCATAGCCTGCACATTTTCCGGCATGCATATCATTTTTATTCGACTGCATATCGTGCATTTTTGACAGTACATAGCCTGCACATGCGTATATTGTGTACTCGGCATAGCCTGCACATTTTCCGGCAAGCATATTGTGCAGATTTTACTGACACACAAGTTGTGCTGCTTTCTTTGGGTGAGCCGGCGTTGTTCTGGCTGGGCAGCACATTTTGGGGTCATCCGCACCCCGCCGGCTTTGCGCCCTGGGCTCAGGTCCCACACCCAATCACACTACTGTTGTGCAACACAGTATTTTATTTGATGGAATGTCTGGCCAGCAAAGGCTCAACTGAAGAAGATGGATGCATTGAGTGAGAGAGGGAGATCAATGCATCATCTTGTGAGGGAGAGAGCCGAAGAGCAGGGGGTGGCTGTGAGCTCACTCTCTCCTTCCACCCACCTGCCGGCGACCTCATCCTCGACAAATTCCCCTTTCTGCGCTCACCCACCCACCCACAGCCTGTTTGATTTTTGATTGCTGTACAGCAGTAGAGCAGAGTCTGCGGGGTCATCCGCACCCCGCCGGCTTTGCGCCCTGGGCTCAGGTCCCACACCCGGGGTCATCCGCACCCCGCCGGCTTTGCGCCCTGGGCTCAGGTCCCACACCCAATCACACTACTGTTGTGCAACACAGTATTTTATTTGATGGAATGTCTGGCCAGCAAAGGCTCAACTGAAGAAGATCAACGTTGTGCGATGGTCCTGCGTCCCTCGAGGCAATCTCCGCCCGTTTTGTACGGGAGTACCGGGCTGCCCATTGCTCAAGCAACTCGTGCTCGGATGAACCTGAGGTCTGGGGATCCTCAGAAATGTCCAGCTCCAGGTGTGGACGCTCGTTGTAGATGCTGTCGCGAGATTCTGGATCTTCTTCGGTGTCTTCAGTAACGAGCCAGTCCTCCACATCGACATCTTGGACGTCTTCTAGATCTTCCTCTCCCTCCGTCTCATCGGCTTCAATGCTCAGGTACTGCATGACTGATTGTTTCCTGGAGGCGGGCTCTGATTCGACACGCCGTTTCTTCGAGGGATTTGATTTGCTCCTCACACTGGAGATGCTCTGAGATGTAATAAGCTACATACATCTCTGTCAGTCGATCATATCGCACCGATTCTACCTCCACAAATCCGGTGCGAATAGGATTCGATCTCCCGAAGACTAATGGTTGCGGTGCATTGCCAACTGGTTCTGGTACATCGACAACGTGTTTAGTGGGCTGCTTAAGTGATTAGTGACCATGGGATTGTGAGCATAACAAGGCCCGTACAGAAGACGCTTCGCCACCTAGGCTGTCATTTGGGTGGCCGAAAATCAGTCCCTCCACTAGCACAGGTTCATGCCCCTGCGACTCAACCTCTCCTTCGTTCGCAACCGAGCTTGCAGCCGAAGGTCCACTCTCCCGCACTTGATCATCCCGACGATGGTCTTCATCTTGACCATCCTCTGCGGACTCCTGGGGCTTGCAGACATCGGGGGTCGGTAGGACGAGAGCTGCAGCAAGATGCGACTGCTCCTGGACGATGCTGTCAGGCAGAGCTGCCTCCTCCAAGGATCTTGACGCTGTCTCTGCACGCAGGATCGGAGATTGCGGAGGAGAGGGCTATGCGTGGTATTGAGACCGAGCAGCAAAGAGGAAGCAGATGCACGTACCGTGCAAGGAAGGAATAACGGAGTCTCTGGCCGACCCGGAATGGGGGTGAACAATCCGCTTGGTGATCTCCGCGTCGATTGTGTGTCAGTCATGCAATCTTCGGGGCAAGGCTGAGGGCGCTTCAGAATGAGGGCAGCCAGGCAACTCGACACTCACTGTCCCCAGATTAGACATCTGACGAGGCGCAGGGCTAGCGTGAGGGCACGCAGCGTCCGGAAGACGGTCGACGAAGCTAGCGGCGGGGCTTAGCGAGCCTAAGCAGCGTCTGTTAGTACTTACGCATAGATTCATCCGCGCCTTTGAATTCTTCTATTGTCTGGCACTTAACAGGCTTTGATCGTTTATGACTTATAGGGCCTTGAGCCCGACACTGAATACAAACTATGTACACGCTCTACTATGGTATACGCTGAGCTGGACTTACGAGCCATGGTGTTCAAGAGCAAGAGACGAAATCCCGATCGCTGATCGGAGTGTTTGGCATTGTGCATGACTGATGGTTGGCAGACCGGCATGATTTCGATCCCGGTGACGTGCCTGCGGACGGAATAGGCGCGAGCTAACACAAAATGGGGGTCAGCTACGACCTAAAACAGTGCAGGAATAAGTGTGATGTGCGAGGAGGTCCACAAGATTCAGTGCCGTGGCAGGCAGTAAGAAATGATGATTTTAGACGTGGGACGAAGTCGAGGGCGGCGTGGGACGGATGCGACGAAGCAGAGGGTCGAAATACCCAAGTAGAAACGAGCTGAAGACGAGAACTGAACTCAAGACTATGAGGAGAATAAATCTATTTTTCTTTTGTCCAACTACAAGCTTTTGTATGTGAGACAATGAAATAATCATCAGAGTGGGTGAAATATCGACAGGATGGAGCAAGGGACGGTGAACAGAGGAACCAGGGAAGTGAGAGGGGAAAAACAGGTACAAGTGGATGGTGAAGTAAGAAAGGCAGGGGTGTAGAGATAAATGTGCAGACAGCAGTCCAGGGATGTGAATATCAAAAATATATGCAGGGCTGGACGAACCAGTGAATAGCCAGGGCTGAGGAATATTGAGGAGACCCTCAGTTGTGTGCGAAGCGTGCGCCCACTGATTGCTGATTGACATGCACTGCCACACGTCAGGACTTGTCGGATAGATAGGCCAGTCCGTCATCTCCTCCTGACTGAAAAAATGACCGTCCTCGGTCATAGAATAGCGGACAAGTGTCTTGAGGAATAGAAATGTGAAGATAAAGGCTCAGTAGATCATCATAGCCTTAGCTCCTCGGAGCTGCGCAAGACAATGATGAATCAAAGGATGCGACTTGGGGGGAAAGGAATGGGCAGCAAAGTCGAAAGGAGAGGGTGCTCAGCTGTGCAGGTGCATCCTCCTGACTGAAACGCGTTCTCTAACTCTTCTACAACTCTTCACAGCTCTCCTCCTCTTCCTGATCTGTTTCTGGGTCCACCAATGTTGACTGCTCGAGCTCGCGCAGTTTCTCGGTTGAGATATCGAGGAAATCGTCCAGGGGAGGGAGGGGGATCGTTGTGCGTGCAAAATAAGGTATAACACGAAAAGCGGCGATGGGACGATGGAAAACTGAGCCGTCTAGCTCACACAGGATGTAGGCGCCTCCCTTGTTGCGCGAAATGACGACTAATGGGCCCAAATAGCGTTTGCGCATCTTCATATTGAGGGACTTCTCGATGGCCGTGTTCCTCATCAAAACCAGGTCGCCCTGCTTGAAGTTGAAGTCGCAGATCGTGGCGGCGTGCTCGATCTCGAAGCGTGCAGCGTCACGCAGTCGTGCTTGATAAACTCGAGAGTGTAGGGCTTCTAGATCGCTTCGGCGTTTCTGGAGCGCAATGGCGCGTCGTGCAATGAGATCCGTGGTCGAAAGGACGGTTTCGGGCGGCGGGAGCAGGTATGTGGCTTCTGATAAATCGAGGGGAATTAATGGATGCGTTCCAGTGACCGCAAAATAGGGTGAGCAGCCCATGCGACGACGGACAGTGACACGGTCCGCCCAGAAGACCGAATAAGCAGCAGAACTCCAGTTCTTCTGCTCCCCATCTACAGCCTTGAAGAGCGCCTCGCGGATGTCGAAATGTGGATTTTCAATCAGCCCATTTGCGCGTGAGTTGTATCCCGAAATGCGCACATGACGGACGTGATACTTAGCTTCCAGGTACGCCAATGCCTTCACAAACGGTGCGCCGTTGTCTGACACGATTTCTGTGAGCGTCCCCCATCTGCAGATCAAGTCCTGGAAGATCCATTCGCCCAGGGTGGTCGCTGTCTCACGGCGCAGCATGCGGAACTCAGGAAAAAGCGAAATCGAGCATCGTCCTTGCACAATGTAGCGGAATCCAGCGCTTGGCGGCATGTGCATAGTGTCCATATGAATTTTCGAAAACAGTGGGGCCGGGACCGCGACGGTAGGGGGGATAAGGAGCTTCTTTGTCTGTCGAATCTGACATAGGTGGCAGGTGCGTAGGTACCAGGTGACGTCGTGTGCAAGGAATGGCCACCAGAATCGTTCCGTGAGTAAAGCCTTCGTTGCGTGGAATCCCTTGTGACCAACGTCGTCGTGGGCAGATCGCAGGATGAATATTCGATGGTGGGAGGGAACGACTAGCTTGTGGCGTCCGTGTGCGTCCTTGCGCCAAAGCTTTCGATTTTCGAGGTAGAATTCCATGCTAAACCGAATAAATGCCTGATATTGCTGTTCAGACATGTCCCGTGGGCGTCGTAGCGTCTCAAGCCATCCCTGAACCAGATCTACACGATGATCGGCGAGTCGAGCTGCTTCTGAGCGAGGTACCTGATCGTAGCTCAGTGTAGGCGGTGTTGTGGACTCGGTGGGTGCAATTTCGGCGGAAAATGAGTGGATCGTGGATTGGCGTCGTGAAACGAAGGGTAAGTCATTGATTATGTGCATAAAACCGTGCACCTCGTCGATCCAGTCATCAAAACCGTCGTCCTCATGCTCTAACTCGTCTCCAGGCTGTGCGGGTCGTCTGGACAATCCATCCGGGCCGTGTTTGACGCCAGGGACATGTACTAGCTCGAAATGGAAGGTTAAGATCGCCAGGATCCAGCGGTTGATACTGGCTGAGGGCGAAAGATCGGGGTTCCGTAGCATACCCTTGATGTACCTAGCATCGACTTCAACCACTAGATTTCGTAGACCGATCAGGTGGAGCTTCCATGAACGAAGGGCGCGGAATAATCCATACAGCTCTAGCTTGGGCTGTGAAAATCGAGCTTCTCGATCGTTAAGCGTGATTGAGCCAAACCGGGCATAGAAACGTCGACTGGGAGTGTTTGGATCGCACTGGGCAAGCAGGAAACCAACGGCGATCTGAGAGGTGTCCACGGATAAGATAACTGGGTCCCCAGATGAATAGTCGATTGGCCGGAGCGCAGGGCAGCTCAATAATGCGTGCTTCAGGTCGTCTTGGGCAGCGATCTGTGCAGTACCGAAGTGGAATGGCATATCCTTTCGTGTTAGAAGTGTCAGGGCGTGGGCACGATGCGCAAAATTCGAAATAAATGCACGGCAGACTCCTATGGTGCCCAGAAATGCACGGACTTCTGAGAGCGTCTTGCAGGGTCCCCAATTTGCGATTTTGTCGACTCTCTTCTCATCAGGGATTCGTCCAGCCGGTGTGCAGACATGTCCAACAACTGTGATGGTTTCGGCGCAGAGTGTGAGCTTGAGGCCAGAGAATGTCCCTCCGCAGTACTTCATCCTCTGAACGATTCGATTCAGATTTCCAAAATGTTCCCAAACGAACCGGCGAATCCCTGGATTCTCAGGGATCGTCTCAAATGATCCATCTTCTAGCTGATATCTCGATTTGGGGCCACGGCCCGGGACGTCGTCGATGTATGGCCAAGTAAATTCCGGGATTTCGGGCTGGAGGATGTAGGTGACGTCGTCGTGGAAGATGGGGACTGAATTCGTCCATCCCATGGGCAGGGTAACAAGTCTGAGAGCTCCATAGGGCGTCTGGAACGTTGTATAGTCGCGGGAGGCTGGCGCAAGCAACCGCTCATCATATCCAACATATAAATCCAGCATGGCACCGCAGGCTCGTCCTGCAAAATGCTCAGCCAGCTGCTCAGTGAACGGCGTGACGCCTGAGTGCTGAATTGTGACGGCGTTGAGTGGCTCCAGGGAATGAACCAAACGAAGGCTGGTGCCATCTTTCTTCACCACACAGAACCAACGGGATCGATAGGATGAATTGGACGGTTCGTACACTCCAGCAGCGATTTTCGAGCGTATGAGGTCGCAGACTTGATCGTAGATCCCAGGGGGAATGGGGATATTGCGCTGGACCCACGGTGTGTGCGGCATGACTGGGATATTGACAGGGGGAAAGAAATCGGTTCGAAAACGTCCTCGTTCTGATTCTTGCCATGCAAAGGCTCCTTGGTGAAGGCACATGAACTGGTGCATTAAATCTCTCTCAGCAGGCCACAGGAAGTCACCGCGGTGTGCGTCGTCAAGAGCAGCCTTGCGTTCGGCGGTGTAGCGTCCAGTCGGCACAAAAGGAGGCGGAATAGGATCCAGATATGGTAGATCTGCGAGTGGGTCGCCCAGGATCTGGCGCTCGATGCGGAATTCGTCTGGGACAGATCCAAGAACAGGCCGAATTTTCCTGGCCACTGGCTTGTACTTTTTGTTAGCAAATTGTGACGTGGACGGGTAGAATTGAGATGAAGGAGACGTAGCAGTAGGATAGGTACGAGACGAGTTCAAAGAAAATATGGGAACGAATTTTGAACCAGGAGTTGAATCCTGGGTCGCTGAGGAAAACGCCGGTTGAACGACTGTATGTGCAAGAGAAATAGTCGAACTGTGTGCGGATAAATTGCTACAGGCAGAGAGATAAGTATGTTGTATGTGCGCAAGAGAGTCTGTGAGAGAAATGGGGGCATAGGACGAAAATACGTAGCGTTCTGGTTGATCTGGGCTGGCCTCGATCACAAAGGCGTACTCTCCTTGATCAGGAATCAAATCCTCGAGCTGCGAAAACCCTCTGAACGGGCACGGGGAGATCCGCGGGGCACAGTAGGCACAGTAGCCGTCTTTCCAGTGTTGGGATCGGTGATTGTGAGTGTTTGATCCGTGTTGGAAAAGTTTCGAATGACGCTTTCCGTCAGAACGTCAAATGGTCGTCCCAGGAGCACGTCGTAGGCAGCGTCACGCAGAATGTGCATCTGTAGGTACAATGTGATGTCCCCAATGCGAACCGGGACGTTTCGGGCTAGTCCAAGCGACGGTGTGATTGTTCCATTGGCAGATTGCATTTGTAGAACGATTCGAGGGTCATACGCAAGTCCCAACTTGTGACAGGTTGCCTGGGACATCGAAATAATCTGAGAACCACTGTCGACGATGCATTCCACTTGTTGCTGGTTGTCAATCACTGGGAGGATCGAGCGGATGGCCAGGGACTCGGCAGCCACAACTAGATTGTCTGGCAACCTTCCAGTCTGATCGTAGTAGACGGCGAATTTATCTGGGACCACCCAAGCGTCTGGGGGCAACGTCTGGCTGTAGGCGACTGGAAAATGCTCCGCAGCCAAAGCAAGGCGTGCATCTTCGTTTCGTTGCTGCTGAAGCACTTTTTCGACCAAATCTGAGTCGTCCTGAGCATATGGAAGGTCGTAGGGCGTGCTATCAGTGACAGGATGCAGGAATTGAGGCACTGCCTCGCCAGTCTTGGCAGGGGGACGACGGAAACTAGTGGCTTCGCGGAATTGAGCACGGACTTCTGGGGCAATCGACAGGGTCTGGCGAAGCGTCTGGGTGACAGGGATGTCCAAAATGGCGTCGAAAACAGCTGCAGCATCTTTGGGGTTGTAGATCGGAGCCGAAGAGCGTGGGGGTTGTGATTTCTGCGCTGGAATTCCAACATTTCGTTCTTTGGGCGGTGCGTAAGCGCCATCACGAGCTGCGGCGTACGGATGGATTGGGGGTTGAGGCGGGGCAACTGGAGCAGCAGGGGCGGTCGCAGGAGGGACGGTTTCGATTGGAACAGGTGGAACGACTGGATTTCGCGCTACCGCCGGTGGAATAGTGCGTTCAGGGACTTCTGGTTGATTAGCAACTTCCATAGCGCGTTTAGCTTGGGCCCGTGTGCGTAGTTGATTAATTTCAGCCGTCAGAACTGCCATTCGTTCTTCGTCCGTGAGTTTGAACGTTTGAACGAGCCCAGGCGCCGCAGAAGACAGCAAATTCTGGTGAGAAACTTCCAAAATCATCTGCGGAGCTGCTGCCTGACCTGGGTTCGCTTCATGCCACTTCTGTATGGAGGCCGGGAACTATATGCTGATAAACGGAGGACGTATCACTGATACGCGATAGTTTGCCGACATAGGATCAATTTCATGATGCGCTCCATGTCATGATGCGCTCTATCTGGACGGCTGAAAACGTTATACTAATGACCGATGTCTGAATCGTGGATGGCCGCTCGGCAGATATTGATCAGATGATTGACGCAATGATCAAGACCCCAGGTAGCCGACTATCGCAATATCGCAACATCGTAATATTCGAAAAGCGCAACATTCAAGATAGTGTAATATTCGAGATAGCGTAGTGAGCATGTAATTACTGTAATTCACTAATCATTTTCGCGGGAGTCTTCCTCATCCGAGAACCATGCGTACAGATCAGGACCAACAGCTTGCCGCAGCTGATTGATACGACACGCACCCGAGCGATCCGTTGGCCGAGAAGCCCTCTAGCAGCGGCGACTTGACACTCAAGTTGGTTTCCAGCATGTACCCCCACTCGCGCTCGATCAGATCAATTGCCCGCTCGCCCTTGCCGGCCACAAAATGCGCTTGGATCTGTCGCGCAGGTGACACGCAAACCACAAACCACCAGCGCAACACGCACCTCGAAGCCACGGCCTGATGGGCGTCCAGAACTTCATCAGCCCGGCGCTCACGGCCTTGTTCTGTGCGTCCGATGTCGTGAGGTTGTACAGGACCGCGAGCGCGTTGCCGTCCTGCGGGTGGATGCTCCTCGGCAGGTCGTTGCTGCGGAACCGGCCCGCCGCGGCGTCCCACAGCAGGCTGTTGAACGCAGTTTTGATCTTGGTCGCGTTGGCGAGGTATGTGGCGGGGAGGGAGACATTGCCGAGATGCGTCGCCAGGTCCGCCGTGGTGACGAGCGTCTACGAGCTTGATGAGCGCGGATACATGATGCGAGAGACAGAAATCAATCCTCACGCGATAAAGCAACGCGTTTGCCGCAGAGTTGTGTCCGGCGCCGCTGGCCCTGCCCCAGTCGTTCGAGAGCGCAGACGAGACGTTCATCAGGCCGGTCAAGTCCACCTGGCCCTCAAGGAAGCCAACCGCCTTGGTGTAGTTCGCCCAGACAGACTTGATGAAATCGAGGTCGCCCGTGTACAGGAAGTAGTTGTGCGTCCCAATGAGCGACCACGAGATGTACGTGTCGCTTCCCTGGTTGTTCAGCGGCGGCCCGGAGTACTGCAGCGCGCCAGTCGTCAGGTTTTGCGTGCGGAACATCACCATCAACGAGTTCTTGGTCGGCTCCATGTCGCTCAGCGCGACGAGCTCCGTGTGTGTGGAGATGCCGCAGTCGCCTGATCCGTCGCATGAGTCCGAGGGTTAGATCGCGTCCATGAGCATGAGGGGTTACCTGGCCAGATGTTCCTGACAGTACCAATGTCATCAGCAGGGATTGCACACACAGATCGCGACCGACCATTCCTCACCTGTCGCGTTTTGCACCATCGACGAGGATAGGCCCAGTGGCAGCTCCTCCCAAGGCATCGTTGGACCAGCCACCTACAAATGTGATCGCACAGTTTGAGTCCAAAATTCAGATCCACGCCGACACGAACCTCCTGCTGGGCACGGCTCCTGTCGCGCCGTGTGGGGAGGGATTGTGTTGGTCTGCACCCTATAGTGCCTGCTAGCGGTCAGCCCCCACCCACGCCACGCTCTGCCACATCAGCCAGCAAACAGGCGATGACGCACCGGCGTACCAGATCTTCGTGAGGCAGTCGATGTCGTGGAACCCGGGGTCAGGTGCAAAGAAGTAGCCCGGGTACGCCCTGAGATCATCCCAGTGGGGCATGAACGTGATCGCCAGCGAGATGTTCGAGATCGTCAGCGGGTCCGCGCTCGCACTCACAATCGTCAGGAAGCGGAACCCGCCGCGCTGCTGTCCCACGGTCTGCGTCAGCAGCCCCGTGGCTCGCGGCACGTGGAACGTCTGGATTCTGTCCCAGTTCTGCAGCCGTGCGGGCTGGCACGAGTCGTCCAACTTGAGCGGGCTGATGAACTCCGCGGACTCGGTGAACGACAGTGAGAACTGCGACTGGGCCGTCGCGTTGTTGATCGTCAGCGACAGGATCCCCCCAAGCTACAGTATGGGTGTGTGAATTGACCCTCGACGGCGCTGTATCAGGGAGGCCGCGCACCTCCTTCCCCAGTCGAACACGACGTACGAACCGCTGCCCTGGAATGTCGCCTGGGAGTCCGGACTTGCGACGAGCCTGCTCGCGCCGGCGACCCGGCCGCTGATCCTATCTCGAATGTTGCGCTTTTCGAATATTACGATGTTGCGATATTGCGATAGTCGGCTACCTGGGGTCTTGATCATTGCGTCAATCATCTGATCAATATCTGCCGAGCGGCCATCCACGATTCAGACATCGGTTATTAGTATAACGTTTTCAGCCGTCCAGATAGGCGCATCATGACATGGAGCGCATCATGAAATTGATCCTATGTCGGCAAACTATCGCGTATCAGTGATACGTCCTCCGTTTATCAGCATATAGTTCCCGGCCTCCATACTTCTGAATGCGCTCTCGAAGATCCTTTCCTTGGACAATATTTGGCACATATGCGCCTGAGGGGAGGACGACTTTCCCATCCACATTGCGGCGGCATTTTCCGTCTCGAATATCTGTCGAAACGTGGGGACATTGGCTGATAAAATGCTCGAGATCACTGCAATAACTGCAGCCATCAGGACGGCGACGGCGGGGCAGGGCGTTGGCGGACTGTGATTGTGCTGGGGCACCAGGATTGGCGTGTTGAGCAGCGATTATTCGAACTAGATCTGAGACGGATGAAACTAGTGCAGTAATTCCAGGGTCTGATTTGATTGTGAGCTCGGTTCCGGGCTGAGACGTGGGCATTCCAGGAAGTAAGGTCGATGATCCTGAAAGGACGAATTTAGCAGCGTCGTACAGATCTGACAAATCATATGGATCCTCAGGGTGAACGTCTGGCTTCTTGATCTGAAGTCTCTGGCGAACTGAGACGGACAACGAGGCTGGATTCATAGCTCGAAGGAAAAATCGGCTCTGTTCTGCCACAGAGAGTCGTTGTTTGCTAATCAGGAATGTTGTGATGTGTAGGAATCGTCGATAAAATTGTGTGAGGTCGTCCTTTGTGTGGATTCCCATGCGAGATGTCTGCCCAACGAGCATGTCCAAATCGTCGAGGCTGAAACGACGATCTGTGTCGTTCCCTGCGTAGAGGCTGAGGGCGTCCAATTTGAAGTCGTGGTACAATTTGTTGGCGTCTGAGAATGACGGTAGACCTTCCCAAATCTCCTGATCTTCGACGGAAAGGAATCTGACCGCATGCCCCTTCATTTGGGCAGTGTCAGTGACGGCAGATCGAGCTAGAAGGAACTCCAGATCGAGGAAATAACGGCGCAACTCGTGGGGCTTGGACGAATCAAAGACTGGGGCGTTTCGATCGCCTCTGGCTGGCATGGGAGTGGGAGTAGCCATATTTTGAGAAGGAATATTCGTGTTGTGAAGGGGGGATGGTGAACGCGTTGTTGGAGGCGAATCAAAGAGCCAGGATAGCGTTGGAGAGCTCGGGGAATGCGGTGAGAGGTTGTTGTGTTGTGCAAGGGCGCTGGGGACAATGTCAAAGAGGTGTTCGTCGTCGAAAGAGAGAGTTGTGGGGTCGTTGAGAGCAACAGCTAGCTCTTCACGGAGCGTGCGACGTAGCTCAGAATGATTGTTGTGTCGCAGACTGCGAGAGGCACCAGAATCTATGTTGAAATCCCCTCGCGGTGGGCTCCAAAATGACGTGCCTGCGGACGGAATAGGCGCGAGCTAACACAAAATGGGGGTCAGCTACGACCTAAAACAGTGCAGGAATAAGTGTGATGTGCGAGGAGGTCCACAAGATTCAGTGCCGTGGCAGGCAGTAAGAAATGATGATTTTAGACGTGGGACGAAGTCGAGGGCGGCGTGGGACGGATGCGACGAAGCAGAGGGTCGAAATACCCAAGTAGAAACGAGCTGAAGACGAGAACTGAACTCAAGACTATGAGGAGAATAAATCTATTTTTCTTTTGTCCAACTACAAGCTTTTGTATGTGAGACAATGAAATAATCATCAGAGTGGGTGAAATATCGACAGGATGGAGCAAGGGACGGTGAACAGAGGAACCAGGGAAGTGAGAGGGGAAAAACAGGTACAAGTGGATGGTGAAGTAAGAAAGGCAGGGGTGTAGAGATAAATGTGCAGACAGCAGTCCAGGGATGTGAATATCAAAAATATATGCAGGGCTGGACGAACCAGTGAATAGCCAGGGCTGAGGAATATTGAGGAGACCCTCAGTTGTGTGCGAAGCGTGCGCCCACTGATTGCTGATTGACATGCACTGCCACACGTCAGGACTTGTCGGATAGATAGGCCAGTCCGTCACCGGTCTGCCAACCATCAGTTGTGGTCATTGTTATCGTTTGATGGTGGCAGTGCTGAATCGCATTTTGCTCCCAACGTCCACGATCTCGTCGTCATGTCTCATGAGTACATAGAAGTGATACGTGGTATATAGAATTAATAGCGTCTGAATCTGCGACGAGTAAGCTAGAAAGCCAAAAGGCAATAAAATGTGTCTGCTAACGGGATTTTAAAGATCGTTGCTGTCACATCGACCGGTTGTCTCCCACCTCAGCGCCAGGCCCGTCTTCCATCTCAGTGAGTGCTTTCACTGTGCAGTATATAAGCCTATTCATTGACCTGCCCGTGTCTGCACAGTTCCAGCGATGCCCAATCCACGTCACTCGTCGAAGAGTCCCATCAAAGCTCAGGCCTTCGCGCTGAGCAGTGTACGACCGCCGCAGCGGCAAGGCGCTTGGCGTCCGCCCCCCGTTTATTGTGCCGACGGCGTAACACTGTATCAAGACTATGTCAGAGCCCCACCTGGTCAGGTCGGGTTTTCGCTGAACACTTCGCGCCTGGAGAATCTCGAGGGCCGGGAATCCCTGCATGTCAACGATGGAGTATACGATGAAGCTCACTACATAACGCCTCTGCATTCCGATGCAGTACCTGCCCCGACGGCGCACTCTGTGGCCCGAGAGAAGCAGGCTAAGCGCTGGGTCATGGAAACCATTCCCGCCCTACTGCCTGTCTACGTGGATCTCATGTACCGAACGGAGCGCCTGCGTCACCTTGATCGTGCAACTCCGTCTACGGCCTCCTGCATTTGCGGAAAACAGAAAGAGATTCAGGTCTTTCTCCTTCGTTGGCACGGTAGGTACTTTTGTGCACGTCCATCTTCTCTGCTTATAGGTTGCAGATTTAGACAAGGTTTCACTGCACCACTGTCCCTGTCGCCCAGCAACGCAGCAGCTTGTTGCCCGCGGCTTCTTTCCAAGCTCGCCCGTTGAACCGCACCTGGGTGTGGACATGCGAGTGCTAGATTTCGCGCAGGATCTGTTCCTCAACCAGGCACCGAACAACCGTGCACTGACCAAAACGATTGAGCAGTGCCTGGACAGGCTAGGCTACAAACTGCCCAACCGTGTAAGGATGTTATCTCGCTATCTGTGAGCCAGCGCTGATGCTTTCCTCATAGGAATCCCTACGACGCCAATTTGGCAATGCATTAGAGTACTATGTCATGCTGCGCCATAGTACAGATCAGGCCATCGACAACATCCTCGCCACCGTGCGGCAGGGGATCCAGAATGAGGACGACAGCCATGAACGCCCAACCACACCAGGTCCGATGATCGCACGAACCTCTGTGCAGGAATCTCCGCGGAAGAGAGGCCGCAGGGAGTGGGACTCTTCTCCGCCGGCTTCTCCAACTAAGCGCACTCGAGCAGCGCAACCATCATCTCCGACACGATCTTTGTTGCCGTCTTCATCATCTCCGGTTAGACTGTCGTTGCCTTCATCGCCCAGTCGCCCACCAGCGTCTTCTCCGGAGCCGTCATCGCCTGTGGCCGAGTCATCACATCACACCTATCCATTCACACCGCCCGAGGATCGCCCGCAACCAAGTGAATACCTCCGGAGCCGATGTCCCGCCTGCTTCGGCGGCAAATGGGAGGACATGCGGGTAGCTCTTGATTGCATTGTTTGCGGAGACGCATGCTTCACGCAGAAACGGAACAAGGACCGAGGCTGTCGAGATCCGGAGCGCATGCATCCCAAGTCGTCTTTCTTGCCCGACCAAGCGACGCAGAAGATGGCTGACTGGGTCGAAGGAAAACGCCCTGCTCGTTCCGCCCCGAACACAGCTGCTGCACCGACATTAGAAGTTGATGATGACGATGTGATCGAAGCACCAAGCATTCCTCTGCCTCGATCCGTGCTCAATGAGTGCGAACGCTCCTTCGCTGCAGCGGATGAGACTAGAGCAAAGACCAGTTCCCAGTTCTTTGACGATAAGGGACTGATGGGCTTGTCGTGTCGTCACGATAACCTGCTGTTCCTAGCAAACATTAAGACACCCGGTGAGCGACAATTCTACATGTTTGCACTACTTGAAGCTCTGTTCCAGCACCTGCCGACTGATTTTGTCGTTGGCTTCCTTTACGACATTGCCTGCCAGTTACAACGATCTGCAGTCAAATACGACTTCTTGCCTCCAGAATACATGGCCAGACTGGAGTGGGCTGTTTCTGTCCTGCATTCGTACGGTCATGGAGCTGCCTGCCAAGCAGTCTATCATCCAAGACGCCGTACTCTATTCGGTTATTCGGATGGGGAGGGTCTAGAACGGTTCTGGCACTCCCTCAGCCATCTTGTCTCTTTTCTTCGTGTGTGCGGTGTGCGTGCTTGCCTTACATCTCCTAATGCCAGCTGATGATCCATATCCAGTATCACAAGCGCCGCTACACGCTGGATGCACAGATCATACACATACACAAGGGGAATTTGTTCAGATTGGGCAGCTGGCTCTCCAGGCGCTACGCTGATTGCTGTCAGCATAGACAGCACGCTACGAATGCTCTGGCTGAATGCCAGCATTCTCTATCGGTTCTGCGTGCAGAGCATGCCAAACAAGTGACAGCCTTGTCACAGCCGTTACCTCGTACGTGTTTATCTTATCTCATCTTCTCGTATCTAGTCATCGCTCGTTCTATCTAATCTTATCGTGACTACAGGACAATCAAAGAACGCAGGGAAAATCGCCATACAAGATGTACTACGCAAGACAGTGGCAATGGATAGGCTGAAGAACCAGATGTCGCAGTGGAATGAAGCCATTTACAAGGAGGACGCAGACCCCGTATATGTCGACTTCGCTTTGCAGGAGTACGCAAAAGCAGACGCCAAGTTATCGAAACTTGCGGAATCAGTGCGGAGGCAGAAGGCAGTCATGGGTGTCGAAGACAAGGCGAACCTAGCGAAGCTGGTGAAGAGCAAGTACATCCAGACTCGCACCAACGCCGCCGCCGCAAAAACAAGGTTGCGCAATCGCTTGCGGCAGAGGAAGTTTGAGCTCGACAGAGTCGAGCGTCACTTCCATCGAAACAAAGCAGGTCACGTATTCCGTTGTCGGCTTATGGCAAAGGTCTGAAATGACTTCAGATGCTAAAATGACGACTCACATCGAGGATGCCGTGCGACGCCGCGACCGAAGTATCAAGGATGTGTGCAGGCTATACAACAGGCTCTGCAAAGAACTGGAAGAACTCATCCGTCTTGGTTGTGCTCCACGCAATGCAATTGCTCCTAGAGAAATCATTGAGCAGGACATATGGGCATTGGATGTCGATGCTGAAATCTGGCTTGACGTTGGCCTGATGGAGGCAGACGAGGAAACAGAGCCGCCACTGTGGATGAAAAGTGACGCAGTTCGTCAGGGTATCCAGGCCATGTTGGAGCAGGACCGCTGTAACGAAGAGGAGCCGCGTTTGTTTCATGAATGTCGGGCTTTGCGCTGGTGGATGGCCGAGGAATGGGAAGTGGTGACGCGCGGAATGAAGTTGGCCGCGGAAGACGGTAGGTGCCAGTCGCCGTTGCACACAGTATTCGACTCCGTTTGACCTTATCCCTCTGCAGGTGAAGCTGCGATTGTCTATCAGTTCGAGCTTCGCAAGTCTGAATTGACAAAATTGGCTGCAGCATGGGAGAAACCGCTACGTCAGGTCCCGTATCCCACATCCGGGTTGCCAGCATGGGGCCCGTCTGAGGAAGATCTGCTCCAAGTCCGCATCGAGGACATGTTTGCTAGAACGTCGGTTGGCAGCTGGAAGGAGCCTGATACGCCATCATATCAAGAGGACATCGCATCAGACAGCGACTCTGGGACAGATACCGAATACTTTCCCTACGACGAACTGGACGCCTTCGAGCGTGCCGGTGATTGGCGGGAGCTTCAGGGTATCTCAGCGCACATGGACTATCCCGATTGGCTTTAGACAGACACATGGTCCTTTACGAATCTACAAACTATCCCCTTTTGCACTACGAATCGGACCATCCATATGGACATATGCATCCTGTGTCGCTTGTGTTTCCGCTTTGTATA